ATATATATATATATATATATATATATATATATACATATACATATATATATATATACACGATTAATACACAATATGAAAAAATAGGAAGAAGCTACTTCACTCGTAACAATTAATATCAATCTCACATAGCACATATCTAGGGTAACCGCAGCCATAATCGTCGAATCCAAAATCCAGACTGATCTTGTACTGAAGGCAGTAGGTACTGCCGTCGTAAGGTAGGTCGGGGTTATTGGCTCTCCACAAAAAGTTCTCGATTGGGCTGTTTTTATCTGAAGTTTTTATGAAGAAAGAGAGAGAGAGGAGAGAGAGAGAGAGAGAGAAAGAGAGCGAAAGAGAGGAAAAAATATAAATAAGAAAGAATGATATTTTGTTTGAAAAAATGTGTTTTATTCTATAACTTTGTTTGAAATAAGTGTAGTGTGTTTATCTGACATGTTGTGTGGTGTCTGTGTATGTGTGTGCGTGCGCGTGTGCGTGTGTGTTTACCAGGATATGGACCCCAAAGAAATGGAGTTGGGATACTATTGTTGTACGTACGGTAGCCGGCCGTCCATAGGTTTATCACGGTTACTGCAGGGTTTACTATGTGATGGGGTGGTGTAATGAAAATTTTGTTAAAATTTTGCATATAAGGGGTTATTCCGATTTAAAGTCGAGTTATTTGTCAATTTTTTGGTATAAAAGGTAGTGTTGGTTTCAAACTGACTGGCCAATACTGCAACAGAGTAGAGGCGGGCCACCGTCATTTCGTTGAAATTCTCCATGACGACTGGATGTGATGACAGGAGATTGTTGCAAGATGACCTCGAACTCGACCACTGGTATTTTGTTACTTGTAAATTGTAACATTTGTGGTTCTCTATAACGTAATGGAACTTCGGCGGGCAATCATCGGCTGAAACTAATTATAATTTAAATTAATTAATTGATTAAATAATATCTAAACCAAAAACAATTGATTCAAGATACTTTTTGCTATCATTTCGGTAACAGGCTAGTGTAGTGGTAAGGAGTCCGTCTCTCACCTCGCAGTGACTGGAATCGAATGCGAAGACAACCCTTCGTAGTCTAGGTTTTATCTTTGATTCTACTATGTCTCTCTCTTATCAGATTAATAGTGTTGCTAGAAGCTCTTACTTTCATCTACGTAGAATAAAAAACTTTTGCCTTTTCTTGATGATCCTACTCTTCTCTTTCTTGTTACTTCGTTAGTCTTATCTAGGATTGATTATTGTAACTCGCTCTACTATGGTCTTCCTGACTTTAAACTCTATCCTTTAAGTAAAGCTTTTAACTCTGCTGCTCGTCTAGTTGCTCGTGCCCCTTTCTTTTCTCATATATCTCCATATCTTGTTCTCTTGCACTGGTTACCTATAAAATATAGAATAATTTTAAAAATTTGCACGTTCATGTATAAGTCTCAATCTAAATTATTTCCTAAGTATTTATCAGATATATTAATTGAACCTAAACCCCGGTTTACGATCGTCTTCTTCTCGCTTTTTCTTAACTTGTGTTAAACACTCTTTTGCCAAATCTGCTTTTGCTTTTTCTGGCCCCTTTCCCTGGAACTCTCTACCTACTTCTCTGACTACTTCTCCATCACTTGCGAAGTTCAGAGCGGATCTCAAGACCCATCTGTTTTCAAAATTCATTGAGGAGCGCTGTTGAACATCGCGGAAATAGCGCTTTATAAGCTGATTGATTGATTGATTGATTGGTTGATTGATTGATGATGTCGTCTTATTTGTTTACACATACATGGACATTATGCGTTTGTTTAACATTTAATTCATTCAGGCGCTATATAAATGAGCTCGTCATTATCGTTATTATTATTATTATTATTATTATTATTATTATTATACTTTGAGTGACGAAAGCGAGACAGCCCCCAGTCAGGTTCGCAGTTACATTATAAATGACGTCCATCTTGTGAAAGCAGGAGCATGATGACGTCAACTTCTTGTAGTTCGTTCCTCTCAAATTGTTATTGGTCGCCACCTATTATTATTATTATTATTTTATTATTATTATTTATATTTTTATCATTACAAGTAATTTTATTTAATATTTAATAATAATTATATACCGTAACGAACCTGGCATTTTCGAATGCAGTCAACTTCCGATCTAGCTTTCAACATTACGATGACGTCATTATCGTTATGGTTGGTGTCATCGTCGTAACATATTAATGTCTTTTTGCCGCTAGCGACGATGTAGCTATACGCCCGCATGTAGGATGTCTGTCTTTGAGTGTTAGTTGATGTGGCGAACGCTGTCAGATGTGACGTCATCAATGCTGATGACGCCATAAGAAATGACGTCATCAGCGTTGATGACGCCATGAGAAATGACATTGTTAATGCTATGAAGTTGTTCAGTTCGGTGGTGAATATTGATGTTGTCAGGACCAACGCTAATGTTATTGGCGCAGCTAGTAATGCCACTAATAATAATGATTTTGGTTTTTTCTTGATGTTTTTTTTAAATGTATCAATTTTTTACTTGTTCGCACTGGAGCCTAATTTTTCTTACACTGCTTTGTGATGTAGAAAAGATAAATTTGAAACATGCAAAAATGTTAGCTCGTTATAAGATTTCTTTTAAGATATCAAGAACTTATCATTCACTTATATATATATATATATATATATATATATATATATATATATATATATATATATATATATACAAACATACGTACACACACACATCGATTTTTTAATTGTATTTTGAAATGATAAATAACTTTCTGTAAATTATTTTATAAGCTTAACAATGAGTTGAAAGAGGATGGGATGTTTCTGTGATACGGCTACATCCGTTAAAAGTTAGTTCGCATTGTTTGCCGTATTTTTAAAAAAGGAACTATGATATGAATGAATTTTGTTTAATTGTTTTCACATGTCACTTTTGTAAACATTAACATAATATAAACATTAAGTAAACAAACATATATATATATATTCATAATTTTCACATTCATTGGGAACCATGAAATTTTAGTATTGAGCTTTAGTACTTCAACTGTATTTGCGACAGTAATATAGTTTTTAACCTTAAAAATTGTTCGACTTTGTGACTATTGATGGTGATGTTGGTGTTGTAGCCAAATTTACACTGAAAGTAAAAGCGATTCCATGGTACACATTTCTCCAATCAATAACAACACAGAGCTAGCTTTCAGCGTATTTTTAGACTAAACGAGTTTGTGTTTGTGTGTTTGTATAAGTTAATGTATGTTAGTTCGTTCGCTTGTCTGTTCGTTCGTTCACTCATTATCTTAATTACTATACAAATTACTCACAATGTAGCGGTAATTGGAGAGTATTATTCAGAAAAATATAATTTACGATTTTGTATTCTTCAAATTTTTTGGCTTTTAAGTCTATTTAAACGAGCGTCTGTTTGATCGATAAAAACATTACAGTGTTTTGAGACATTATCCGCCACTTATGTATACACACACGCACACACACACACACACACAACTTTTACATTGCATATGACAAACAGGAATCTCTGCATTCGATTTGAAGTCACCCGCGCAGAATACCTAGCGTCTTTAACCATTACACGGTGCACCATCATCTCGGGGTTCATATCGATAAATTCTCACGGCCATATTCATGTTAACGTGATATATTTCAATTCAACATGAAAGTCAACATTTAATATTAGTTTGCGATCTTATGCTCGCTTTTCCTTAACTCGTGTTAAAAATTCTTATGCTAAATCTGCATTTGCTTTTTTAGGCTCTTTTCTCTGGAACTCTCTACCTCCTTCTCTGACTGCTTCTCCATTACTTACGAAGTTCAGAGCGGATCTCAAGACCCATCTGTTTGTAAAATTTATTAACGAGTGCTGTTGAACATCGCGGAAATAGCGCTTTACAAGCAGTTTGATAAATTGAATGATTGTTATTTGTGTTTCCTGTTTAGCTTTTCTCACGATGTCTGATCTCATGACAATCTAATTTAGATAGTGGTTTTTTTCTTTATGTAGGTAGGCTAAATCTTACAGCTTCCTAAAAAATAAAACTTTTTGCTAAAGTTTTTTAATAAAATCTTTATTTCTTTTACCTAATTTTATTATTTTTTTTCATTCACTCACTCCCTCCCTCCCTCCCTCACTCACTCACTCACATCATAATCTTTCTCAAACTGTTGATACTAATTTAATAATTGAAAAAAAACAAACTTATATTGAAAGAAATGACAAAAATAAATAAATAAGAAAAGTAAATGACTTAATTTACCGCGATAAAAATGTAATTACAACCAGTCAACACTATCGTCATCATCATTCCTATCATCATCGTCATCATCATTCCCATCATCGTCGTCGTCGTCGTCGTCATCACAACCTAAACGTCCCATTATAAATCAATTGGGCTAATTTTTCTTCTTTTATCTTTCTTGTATGGAAGAGCTGTAGATGGGAAAGAAAATAATAATGATATAATAATTGTAATTATAATTATATTATAATAATCCTCCACCCCCTCCTCATCATCATCTTCATCATGATCATCATCCTCATCATTCTTCGTCATCATCATCATAACAATCGTCGTCTCTACCTTTCTTTTTTCTAGAAATGTGTTCACAAAAGCATCAACAGTCATCTTATCTGGAGAAAAAAATAATAATAATAATAAGGTTAAGAATAATAACAATAATAATAACAACAACAACAACAACAACAACAACAACAACAACAAACACCATTAACAAATTCTTCAGCAACAGCATCTGCTTCTTCCTCGGCTTCCATGGCGACGACCTTGACATTGTCCAGCAAGGGCAGCAACGACAGCTGCTGACAGCCGTTACCGAGCTGTCTGCTGTTGCCGTCGCTGCTGAACAGCTGAGATGAAGTCAGCTGCTGTTCGTACCCGTCCCATGCACATGATAAGTGATCTTTCATCTCCAGCCATGCTTTATGCTGATTAGATTATCATTGCTATTATTATTATTATTATTACTATTTTTATTGTTATTATTTATTATTATTATTAAGGTGAGAAATAAAACAAACGCATATACGAACGGTTTCGATAAATGATGATTTTTTAAGTTCCATCTCTTTCTTCAGTTTCATATTTGATTCTATGCACATAGACAAAAGAATTATATCATCATTATCATCATCATCAACATTTTCATCATCATCATCATCAACATCTTCATCGTCATCATCATCGCCATCAACATCACCATTATCACCATCATAACTGCTTACCAGCAAAATGTTCAATTTGCTGTTCCATACTTTCTAATCTATGCTTGTAGGTGTCGATTTGCTTTCTATGGCAAGCCGTTGTCAATCTACTCAACTTCTCATCATCGCTCAGTATGTCTATTATTTCTTCTAGGCTGGTGAAGATAATAATGATGACGTGAGAGGGAGAAAGAGAAAAGAGAGAGAGATAGAGAGAGAGAAAGAGAGAGTAAGATAGAGATAATCATCATCATCATCATCATCAACATTAACAACAACGTCATCAACAATAGCAACAACACCACATCATCAATACCTTAATTTATCAAGATCTTGAACTCTTGTAATTGACTCGTAATCAGTATCTCCATGTGCTATTGATGGCGACGATGATGACGTCACCGATGACGAAGATGACGTTGTTGCTGGTAACTGATGTTGTTGTTGTTGATTTTGTTGATGTTGCATAACAGTGTAGTTGCTGTTTTTTGATTCTAGCATATAGACAGAATTTAGTTCGCTAATGATTTCTTTCAATATTCGACTCAGATCTGAATGTATGGTGAACTAGAAGGAGAAAGATATATTACAAAAAATAATAATAATAATAAAGCAATAATATAAAAACTCCTTTATTGATCTCAAAACTTTAAAAGCAAATGAATAAAATAGATGAAATAAAGTAATAAAGCGTTAATGGAATTATAAAATTAAATAAAAGTGTATGTAGACACCACAGCTCATTGCGCTGGCAAGTTTAGTGCGGTAAAAGATATTTAAAGTTAGTATCATGGCATGTCTCTATTGCAATAAATATTGTACGAGGATCTTATTACTTCACTTATTAATTTGTCATTAAAAGAAATCGGCCATAATAATAATAATTATAATTGTAATAGTACTGTGGCCAGCTTAACTAACGTTATTTAGAGCAGGGCAGTTAGCTATAGTTAAACTTTCCATGTCAATCCATGGATGCTTTAAAGGTTCTGAAATTTGAATGGTGGGTTTTTCTTGGGGAAACAACTTGCCTAAATGTCTTTTGATTAGAAGAATAAATAAAAAAGTTATGGTTTATTCAATTTTGATTAGGGTTTAAACAAAAAAATTAATGTTTTATCTGTTTATAAAAATGAATGAATGAACTGAAAAAATATTCATAAATTTTATGCTATTTGTTTGTTTTATAATTAAAAGATATTTAATAAACAAAATTAATTAATTAAAAAATTTATTATTATTATATCTTTTATTTTTTCACTAACAAGTGTAAAGAGATGTCTGCATTTTCAATCATAAAAATTTGGAATTTGTTGTCTTTTTCATATTCTATCAATCTGATTTAAATAAAAATGTTAAGTTCATATATAAGGCCGACCCAGACATGCAAAGTAAGCAAATTAGTATATTTATTTAATGTATTAATTTATTTATTTTAAAACAAACATTTTTTAACTTTAAAAAATGTTTTAAATCAAAAAAAGGAAAGTAGACTTAAATAAATCAGACCGTAAAGAAGATGATTTCAAGGCTTTAATATGTTTTTGACGGGAAATTTCGAGAGCCGTCAACTCCGGAACAGCCGGAGTTGTGGCCCCGGTGCTGCCACTGATCAGCCAGTTTAGATAATCCATTTGACTTTTGAATTTTATCTATCTAAAAATAAAAACTTTCAATTATTTCGATTATTAGTAATAAAATTAAATTATTTTTACTAAATATAATAATATTATTAATTAGATTTAGTTACTTATTCGTGTATTTTGGAATGTAAACTTTGTGACGGAAATTTACTTTTAAAATTGTATGGTTTTTAATTAGGGTTGGCATTGGCATTTTAATTAGGGATGAACATAAACTTTTGACAATTCAGTACAATTTGCCGTTTTTCTAGTTTAATTACATGTATTTATATTATTTTTATAATTTTTAATTAAAATATATTAAATTTTTATTTAAATTAATTATATTTTGACATGATAAATTCTATTTTTAGTACTTTAATAAACGAATTCATTTAAAATTAATTTAGCCACATAGGTAATCCAATTCTTATTAGCGCTCTAGTGATTTAAATGTAGACCTAGTAGAAAGTCATTTTGTCCGTACAACTTGAAATTATTTTTAAAATATTTATTTCGGAATATTTATGAATAAATTTCATTAAAATATTAATATTTTGCCAGAAAATGGAAATTCAATTTGAAAATTTTGACGTCAGGGAGCTATTTGATAATAAATACGTTGTCATCATTGGTGATAGTGGTCAGTCATTGGTTTTATTTTATTTTATTAACTTTTAATAAGTTTTTTTGCACAGATTTTTTAAAGTTTTTTATTTTGGTACGGAATTAAGAATTATTTTGTTATTTATTAAATTTATGTTTATATTATTTGTCGTTTATTGGACACTGCTATAGATAGAAAGAGAAAGAGAGTTAAAAATTAATTTAATTTTACTAAAATTGAAAGTTAATTTAATAATTAATTATTTAATATTTAATTAATTTATTAAACTAAAATATTTAAATTTTTCAAAACAAACCTGAAAACTAAAGTGACTAGGGGCATTTATAAAGATCTGGTCATGTGTCTGTCGTCCGATAGAGAATGCTTGGATCAGCAAGAACTGAAGCAGAAAGTAAAAAATTAAAAATCATCGTTTAATTTACTTTTTATGATAAAACATGTTTTAAAATCAATTTTTAGATCATTTATTTTTATCATCAGCAATGCCTCAAACTTGATATCAACACTAATCAGTTTCTTCTCTAATTTTTTTTAAAAACCATTTCATCATTTAAACTATTTTTCCACAAAAACTATCTCCATAATGATTATTAAAATCATGATATTTCAATTGCATGCTTCACTTGGCTAGATTGATAGATTTCTAGTGTGTGTGTGCGTGTGTGTGTGTGCGTGCTTGTGGTAAAAATCATTATTTTCTTACTAGGGTGAAATATCATTCCTTGGTGACCAGTTGGTGGAAGGTGGAGTTCAAACAAACGGCATAGAATATAAAGAAATCAGGGAATTTTGCACTTCAAGAATTCTACTGAGATTTTATTTTGTCACAAGGTGTTTCAATTCGTATGTTGAAACAGTACTGGCCGACTTACATTTTCACGAAAAACCCGATATCCTGATTCTAAATAGTTGTCTTTGGGACATTAACAGGTGTTGGCTAGCTTAACTAACTTAAAAAGAAAGTTTTTTTTCTCTTAATCACTAATTTTTATTTATAACTTGAATTTTTTTTATATAAATTGTTGATAAGATGCATGATTGGATGATTGATTAATTGATAGATAGATTAGTTGAGTGATTAATGAGTTGAGTAAATGATTGATTGATTGGTATTATGATTGATAATTTTAATGAATGATTGATTGATTGAATGAATAGTTGAATAATTAACAGATTGAAGAATTTATTGATTGAATGATTGTTAGATTGATTGATAGATTGACTAAGGGAGCTATAAATATAGCACTCATCCATTTTTTTTCAGATATGGTCCTAATGGGATGAAGGAATATGTCTCCAACCTCAACAGATTATTTGCATCTTTGGATCTTATTTTAAATGAAAAATACGACAAAACGCGTGAGAATAAGATCCTGAATAATAATGTGGCGTCAAATGAAGTCGATGAGAACATTTTAAAAGTGAAATCTGATGAACAAAATGTTACAAAAAATCAAATATCCAAATTTCTTGCTACCTATATTAACAATGACCACTTCAAACCTCACGTCAAAAGGGAAAACGACGACGATGATGATAATGATGCTGATAAGGGTGATGACATAGATATCGTTATAACGAGTGATGAAGATGTCACTGATGACGTAGATATAGTTATAACGAGTGACGAAGATGTCACTGATGACGTAGATATAGTTATAACGAGTGACGAAGATGTCACTGATGACGATGACGACGATGACATGAGTAAGAAAACACAGTTAATAAGTGCAGAGAAAACCGTTGAAACTAAAAACATAACTCTGAAACAAACTATTATTACTAGTACTGCTACTACTAATACAAATAATGAAAATGGCAATAATTTTATTAATGCTAACATTAAAAATGCTACTTTCACTGCTAGGAGCGCTCTTGCTGACAAGACAAATTTCATAAGCAGTATTCACAATTATGCCGTGAGACTCGATGTACCCTGTTCAGCCATCAATCTTAAGAGAGGTAATTCGAAAATTTCAAATGAAATTTTGTCGTCTGCAACGTTAACGAAAAGCAACACAGCAATAACAGCTAGTACAGCTGCTGCAGCAGCTAATAAAGCTACTGCAACATCAAAAACCAACTCAACAACAGCTAACACAGCAACAACATTATCAAACAACTCAACGACAACAACAAATACTCTCTCTGATGAAACCTCACCATCTCTCTCAACCCACCAACAACAGAAACCACTTATAATCTGGCTGACCACTTTCCCAATATCCTCGCAACCAAGGGGCGGCCTCTTCACTGAGGAGACGCTCAGTAGAAGTCGAAAAACGCTCCGTTTGGACGTCATGCAGGTCTCTGATTGGTGGGGTGATGATTATGGTATATGGTGATTGGTCAGCTGGTTATTATGGTATATGGTTATTGGTTCAGAGTATGATAATGACAATTTGTATATAAAAATTTGTATTACAAATGTTGATAATGTTTGATAATAGTTGATAAGCAACAGTTTAGTATTGTATAAACTCTTCAACATTCAGGCCAATTACAAAAGCCAACAGCTGGCTCTGAAGTACAACATAAACGTTATCGACATGCATTACCATTTCAGAAACGAACTTGACCTTCGAGCCAACGACGGCATTCATTGGTTGGGCCAAGGCCATTTGAAGGCTAGAAATTTAATCATCGATCACATTTGTAAGTCTTGGGGTGTCAGGGTTCCAAAAAGGTGCATTAAAAATAGCTTAACTTTAGCTGGATGTAACAACACCACTCTTAGTGGTTTAAATAGTAATATCAACTATAAAAGTTCCTCAAAACCGGTCGATCCTAATTCAATTCATCCTAGTAAAAATATTAGTGGCAGAAATAATAAATCCCGAGATTTAATGAATAAAAATTTGTATAGGCAACCGAATTCGGGCCCAACTGGCCTATCAATAAAAAATCTCATACTTCTCAAAGAACTTTTGGTGAAGTTGAATGTTGAACATAGAGCTAACGAACGATCAGATATGTTATCAGAGCTCGCTAATCTAACTAAAAATTTATACACGTCGAAATTTTCTGATAATTTGAGCGGGGTTATTTCTAAAAATAACTTTTCAAGTGGTATTATTAATAATAAGAAAAATAAAAAGAATAATAACAAGATTAAGAGTAGTTGTAACGTTGATAGCACACTTGGTTTTGAAATTTATGAGTTTAAGGGTAATAATTGTAGTAGAAGCATTAATAAATTCCATCCATACAATGTAACAACAACAACTACTACTACTAATAATAATTATGATTGTTTTTATAAGAATAATTTTCATAATAATAATCATAATATAAATGATGTTCATCCTAATTATAATGGTGATTTTAATTATAACATTAATAATAATAGACTGAGTGGTGGTGATAGTAACTATGACGACCAAAATGACCATTACTTTAGCAGTGATGGTAGTAAATTGTGGGAGGAATGTGCTGTAAATGATGGTGGTGATTATGCTAACCGACCGACCAATCAAAACTTTGCTAATTTTGGTCATGCTACCTTTCAAAACTTTCAGAATGACGATCAGTTTTCTCAAGAATTCAATTGTGACCAGTTTTCACAAAAATTTAATGGTAGTAGTGGTTATTTTTCTCAAAATTGTAGCGGTAGTAGTGGTAAATTTTCTCAAAATTTTAGTAGTAATGGACGATATTCTCGAAATGTTGGTAATGCTGGTGGTCAATCTTTTCAAAATTTCGCTGACGATCACGAAAATTTTTTTCAAAACTTTAGTAACTTCGGCAGCGATAGTAGCCACGATTACGAACAGTACTTTAGCCTTTTTTGTAATGACGACGACGGCAGTAACTCTCAATTTAGACCAGACTGTAGTAATAATTTTTCCTCCACTAATTTTGACGACCGCAACTGTAGTAATGGCAGTTACTCGTCACATCTCTTTAATAATAATAATGATTTTCAGCCCCTACCGCGATTTCAAAACTTCCCCAATTGCACTAATCACCCTACTGGCAGCAACAACGTTCTAAACTCTGATTTTTCCTGGAATGAAATTCGATCAAGCGCCGGTAAAACGATGAATGATTGTGAAGATTACGTCGTACAACATGGCTACGACTCGAAGATTAAGTTTAATCAGATCAAAGATTATAATGCTAGTGGTGATAATTTTGGAAGGAGCGGATATAATGTTGATATAGATTACAGAAAAAATAATTCAAGGTTTCGACCTTATTAAGTACCTTACCTCATGAAAAGCAGTAGTAATAATGCAAAATGAAATAGGAGTGCTGATAAGTAGCGGCTTAAGTATTGATCAGTAGCAGTGTTACTAGATGTAAAATATTGTCGGTAAGTGTTATTACTTAGTAGTGTCAGTATAAATTATTTTACTAATTATTGCTGTTTCGGAAAGTGTTGTGTGTTTGTTCGTTCTTCTGTCTGTTTGTTTATTTGTGTGTTTGTGTTATATTCTTGACTGCCGTTATAAAACACTTGAATGAAATATACTGTGACAAAATTTTTAATTTTTTATTGGTTGACTCGTTCTAGTATTAATATTTGTTACTGCATGTTTGTTTATGTCGATATATATATATATATATATATGTGTGTGTGTGTGTGTGTGTACTATATACAAAAATGTGTATGTATATATATATATATATCAGCTTTTTTTACAACATCTATTGCTATACTTGAAGCGCGTTTTAATACTGCTGAATTGTGTCAAACATTTTGGGCATTGGTTGACTTGATTGACTGCCTGATTAATGGATTGATTAGGGCGTTTGTGTGTATGTATATATTACTTGAGGTTGACAAGATTAGTTAAATTTTTCGGGGTAACATGTCTAAGTTTGCATTTTTCTCCTAGCGTTCATTTCACATCTCACATTTTTTATTTTATATTACTCATTCGTTTTGTCTTTTTTTTTATAAAGTAAGTGATGGGTACTCTTGTTGATAGTAGATTCGCCGTGAACGAGTTTTTCCGCTGGTGTTCCAGATTTTTCGAAGATGACGTCATTTTGAGTTAATTTTATTGTGTGTATGTGCGATACCTTTGTCGTTATCAGTTTTTTATTACCATCCCGTCGTTATCACCATCGTCATTTTCGTCGTCATCATCGATGCCAAAGTAATGTTAATATGAATGAATAACGACGAGATACATAGGTGGGCTGGTTAGTCTTTGTAATGATATAAAAAGTATCTTGTATCATCTTTTGTATCGCCGTCCATGTATCATCAACAAAGCTTTCACTAATCGATTCTTTTGTCATTTACGTTCGGCGAGTTGATATTTACTGATACTTTCATAGAGAATTTAACGCTTAAAATGTGAAAAATTTGCTATATACAATTTTTTTTTCCCGTTTTGGTAAACTTCTTGAATGCTTGAGAGCAAACAGAAACCATGGAAATATCGAACAGTAGTCATCTGTAACTCTACTTAAATGTTTGTTTTTTTCATTTTCAAGACATCTTCGAAAGTACTACGTACTTGCTACATGTGCATGGAAGACGAGATGTTTGCTTCTTTTTTGGTTTGTCCATTTGGCGTCTTTTTGACATGTTTTTTTTTTATGAACAAAATGACTTGTTTAATCTTATTTATTAATTTTAAAGTTGCGTTTATGATGTTAACCATCAGAAAGTTAATTTAGTATTAGATAAATCGTCTAAAATAATTTACTCGTTATAATGATCGTTTAGAAGATGGCTCGCCATTTGGAAATTTCTGTTAAATTCGTATATATCACCTTACTGTACTATTTACTGGCATCTATTGTTAAAATTATCGGTATTAAAGCAAATGAGAACAAATTTATGATCAATAATAATGTAACCATATCAAAAAATGCATCCACCATTACTATCAATGCTACTTATTCTGAAAAGATAAGTGTTAAAGATGACATCAAGGATGACCGTACCGCAAAATCATCAAATGAAGGAAAGGTAACAAATTTAATAAACGATGGCGAGAAAATTGACCAATCGCAAACAACTGCTGCTACAACTACTGCTGCTACAACTACTGCTGCTACAACTACTACTGCTGCTGCTACAACTACTACTGCTGCTGCTAATACTACTAGTTGTACTAATGAAAATGATACTGTTACCACCGCTGTTACCAGGCAAGAATCATCAAATCAAGGAACTTTTGTAACTGAAAAAACTTCGGAAAAAACTGAGCTAAATTCTGTGTCCGAATCAGAAACTATAATGGTGTCAGAAGTGGTTTCTTCAGCGTCAACATTTTCTACTATAACATCTACTTCATCATCGTCACCACCCTTATCAACATCATTCTCATCATCACCATCGTCATTGATATTATCACTTTCATCAACGCTAACAACAACTGAAACAACAACGTCAGAAACATCACCAACGACAAGCGTAAATCAAATGGCCCAATTGATTAGCCCTACTCTAATTACCGAAATCAAAGGCAAAGGCCCTAATATACCCCTTATTATTGGCCTCGTAGTTGCGTCAGTACCACTTTTAGTTGTGGCGATATGCGTCATCAAAGCCGCTGTAGTCACTATTCATTCGAAAGTTGCTTCGACCGGATAGGCAGGCGTTGAAATATACGTTGAAATAGATGTTTAATTGAAAGATTAAACGTTTAAACTTCTATTTAATTGTAGATTGATTGTTTAAGGAATAAATTAATTGTTAGAATATAATCAATTTAATGTCAATTTTTATACTAAAGTTAAATGTTAAATTAATGCTTTTTCGGTTAGGTTAATTTGTGAAGATGTCGGGATGGATGCCAATATTAAATGTTTAGTTAATCGTTTAACTTGAACTTCATTGTTCGTTTGATTGATTTGGTTGCTAAGTTGTGATTGGTGGGTTGGTTGATTAATTGGTTGAAGAGAAGTTTTGATAGAACATTTGGTAAACCTTAAAACTGTTTATTATAAAAATTCATCATTATAGGTGGACGCAACACACTTTAAGGAAGTTGAGGCTGACGGAAGAGTTCTTCCTCGGATAGTTGCTGTAGTAGATGGTGCTGGTTAACCAGGGTCACCCCCACGAAAAAGTGGGGGTGACCCTGGTTAGCCTGGATAACTCAACATGATGTTAGCCTGGATAACTCTACATGATGGCCCTTTTCCAAATTAGGGGCATGTTCCATCAGCCTCAACTTCGACCTAAACTTTTACAACAATCCATCTTGGTTCGCTTACCTGTGATAGAAAAATGGCCTTTTTTACATAAGCACCTAAACACCAAACGTCTTCTGATCACATTTCCAAATATTGTTATACCAAAAAATTATCATCATCATCATCATTATTACAAATATGAATAATAATAATAATTATTTTCAATATTATTGTTCTCATTTATAATAATAATAAGAATAATAAACTATGTTTATATAAAAATAACAACAACATAGATATAAAAAAAATAATTTTCTGGTTTATATATCTATAGATAATAATAAGAATAACAAACATCGTTATCATTATTATTCTTTATTATTATTATTATTGTTGTTATTCTTTCATTTTCATTTGCTCATGTCTTCTGCTTTTTGCCCATTCCATGACTTGAGCTTTGAGTTCGGGTACTGACAAAATAATTAATTAATTGATTAATTAATTAATATACTGATTTATTGAATGTATGAAAGTATGGTTAAATGGTTGTTTGATTAAATACTTAGCTAATTAATTAATATACTAATCGATTGTTCATTGTATGGTGGGTTAATTATTTATTTTTTAATAATTACTAACATAAATAAATAAATGAATGAATTAATTGATATAATGATTAGTTGTTTAGTTGACTGAATTGATTCATTAATAAACTGATTGATTGATTGATTGATTAATAAATTGATTAATTGATCAATCGGTCAACCAGCCAAATAGTCAATAAAACGCCATCAAAAATAGTCTAGCATTGAAAAAACAAAGAAACAAAACAGGAAAACAAAAACAAAAAACACAATAAAAAACAACAAAAAAGCAACTCACGTGACACGAGTTGGTCTTCCGTCAATGGCTGCCTGTTAAACGGGTCAGTTTGGGAGTTGAGGAGATGCCGCAGGATCACCTTCCTATCCATGATCGTTCCGGATGGCAGCTGGACTGGGTCGAACATCAGGGTGTCCATGAGAGGGTCTGCATTCATTCATTTGTAATATCAGGTCAAAGGTCAAAAGAAACGAAAGATGAAAAAAAAAGATTGAAACCTCTGAATTCGTCTGGAATGTCTCCGTAGTCAATTTCCAACTTCTGCTTGTCCACCACAATAACTTCAACCTTAATTCAGTTATTCATTCATTTATTCATTCCTCTATTTATGTAAATATTTCATTTACTGATCCATCCATTCACTCATTCATGCATTGTTCATTCATTCATGCATTCATTCATTTCCTCATTACAAAAACCTTCTCTTGCAGATTAGCGAACTGTTCGACTTCCGTATCGGTTTTAATGTTCGTCCTGACCATCCGGGAAATGGCATCATCGAATAACTCTTTCGAATACGATCTCTATTTAGGGTTTTTGATCACTATTATTATTATTATTGTTATTATTATTATTGCTGACATCATCATCAACGTCATGAAGATATAATAATAATATTTATCATCATGAACATTGTCACCCTTGTAACAACAACAACAATAATAATAATAATAAACATCATAATAATCATCACCATCACGATCAACACAATCGCAATCATAACCTCATCATTGGCGATGGCTTCTGGGAAAAGTGAACTTCTGTCTAAATGCAGGTAGATGTCAATCAAATTACTGAGAAGAACTTTGGGGTACCATGAGTATTTCTCAGGGTTTCGAACCTGAGGAATTCGTGTTGTTGTTGGTTGTTGTTGTTGCTTACGTGATGTCGTTGTAATTGTTGTCAGTCAAACAAGTGACAGTCAAACAACCAACCAACCAGCCAGCCAATAGAATGAATGGATGAATGAATGAAAGAATGAATGAACGAACGGATCAATTAACCAACCGACCTTCAAATTATTACACTTAGGCCCACAGAGTTGTTGCAGATTGAAATTCAACATGGCGGCAAGTCGATCGGCCAGTTGCTGTCAATCAAAAAAGTAATCATCATCATCGAAACCGCTATCACCCCCATCATTATCGTCATAATTTCACTCACTCATCATCTCATTCACTCACTCACTCACTCACTCACTCACTCACTGGGATAAGAAACTGATCCTGGACCTTCTCAGTGAGGTAGTGGAACATGTCAACAGTTTCGGAGGCCAGTGTCAGGTAGGACTTGCATTGCCTTTCCTCTTGGGCTAGCAACTTTTGTTTCGACTGCTGTTGTTCCTGTGTGTGTGTGTGTGTCTGTCTGTCTCTCTGTATGTGTGAGTGTAATAGTAGTAGCAGTAAAGTAGTAGTGGTAGTAAAGTAGTAGTTGTGTGTGTGTGTGTCTTTCTCTGTGTGTGTGAGTGTAGTAGTAGTTGTTGTAGTAGTAGTAGCAGTAAAGTAGTAGTGGTAGTAAAGTAGTAGTAAAATAGTAGTAGTAGTAGAGGTACTAAATATGTACATCAAAATGTGTGAACGTGTGTGTGTGTCAGGGTATGTGTGCGTATGTATCTGTGTGTGTATTTGTATCACCATTATCACAAACAAATATCGTCCATCATTATCATCGCATTTATCATTACCATCACTACAATCATCACTTCCGTCATCATCAAAACTATCTCAATCATCATTATTTCTGAACTAACCAATCCCAATTTATCCCACTGTGATTTGTTGTCCATGAGATCCTGAAGCTCGCGGATTCTCTTCAACGTCTCCATACTCTCGTCCAGTAAGTAGGTTGTGTCATTCATCAGCATGTTCACGAATTTCACAAAGTGAGGCCCGCTGCTGTTGTTGTGTGTGTGTGTGTGCAGGGACGTGTGTGTATGTGTGTGGAGACGTGTGTCTGTATGTGTATATGTAGACGTGTGCGATTGCATGTGTGTATGATTGTGTGTGTGTGTGTATTTGATTGCGCGCGTGTGTGTGTGTTTGCCTTTGTTGCAGTTCACACTTGGTCGATTGAAAACCATTTCAAGCGTAGAAATTTCATTTCAAATAAATTTCTACAGAACATACCAATTAACATTCTTCTCATCTCAACTTTAAAATCATCAGCCCGTCAACCATCCGAAAAAAATATGATTTTGCACGATTCTACAACATCAGCTTTATTATAATTATCATTGTTATTATTTTTTTTTGTAGACCTAGAGACAATCAATCAATCTTCGTTTTGCGTCCAGAGACCCGGTCCCCCGAGGTAGGACGTTGTTTTCTTTGTCATCAACTTTTTCCACCTAGAGACAGATGAATTTCAACGACTATCCCACTTATTCAAGTCGTTGCGAGTTGCGACAAGATATCGCATTTGTTACGAGACGAGACAATTGAAGTACTGGAATTGGCGGTCTGTCGCGAGACTAACCTTCTAAATTCTAAAGAATATAAACTATCTAAATACTCTGGTAACTTGCAGGATAACTTGATTGACGACTTTAAACATAACATTTAAAAATAAATAATGAATACATTCGAAATCTCAACTCTAGGTTTATTTAAAATATTTAATTTATCTTCTCTAGTAAACATTATTTGGTCTGATCATTTCTGCAATAGTCTTATTTAAACCTGCAACATCGTCGTCATACGCTATATGATAGAAATGAAACTTGAATCAATTTTGAAACTAATTAACTCTAGTTGTCAATCAATCAATCTTCGTTTTACGTCCAGAGACCCGGTTTCCCGAGTTAGGACATTGTTTTTTTTGCCATCAACTAGTTGTACTCACCAAATTAAAACTCTACTTGATATTTTATTTTATATTATTCTTATTTTATTCTACTTGTCATTTTGTTTCATTTTATTGTCATTTTTATTATTTTATTATTATTATTATTATTACCTGGCCTCTTCTATGACTTTAGCTTGATATACGGGCTTTTCCCAGAGGTACTTGAATATGATGCTGAGATGGTACCTTATGGAGAACTTGTCGTAAAACTCGCTGCTGGCTCCAGTTGACTCTACATCTGGTGGTGGTAATGATAGTGATGATGTTGTTGGTGATGATGGTGATGTCGTTGATGGTGATTATCACCAGTATCACAATCTTTAGCAAAATTTTAAAATTTTTACAATCGCTACCTAACCAACCAACAAATAAATCAACCGACCGACCAGTCAGTTAACCAACCAACCCACCGACTAGCCAACAAGCCAGCCAGCCAACCAGTCAAACAGCCAGCAAACCAACCAACCCGAATAAAACTTCATGAGAGCCGGAACTAGATGATCGAGTGACATATGATGATTGACAATCAGCTCACTAAATCGGCCGCCGTAGGGATGTACCTTCGGATTAGTGATGTACATGATTTCGACGAGTTTCGCCACTAAATAGCGATTCGAGACGAACTGAGACTTGCAGATGATTACGATGATTAAGGTGATTATGTCCTCAAGCCAGATATTCGCTAGAAGGTTTGGACTGTTTCTGTGTAGATATGTTTGTTTGTATTTGTGTATCTGTGTGTGTGTGTGTGTGGATGTGTTAGTGTGCGTGTGTGATACCATCATTAACTAAAAATCATCATCATCACCATCATAAGCGTCATCATCACCAGCACCATCATTATCATCACCACCACTACCACAAATATCATCATCATCACAACTAACTGAACGATGAACAGGAAAAAGTCTGCGAAATCCTCGATGAAGTAGTCCGGTAGGGATGCGAACAACATCGGAGCCGTGCTCGACTGTGGGAGGAGCTGGATCCTGTGGTGTGACGTCATAATAATAATAATAATTATGATAATAATAATAATGATAATGAGAACATCCTTTTATTTTCATGTTAAAATATACACTGTAATTATAAAGTTAAAATAATAAAACTTATAATGAAAATTACATATATATTCTACAATAATAATAATAATAATAATAACAATAATGATAATAATAGTGACCAACCCGTCTGGTGTTGTAGCTCCGACGATGACCAGCAGATATTTAGCCAGCAGGCTGTAGAACAAGAAGGCCCTGTCCACGAGCTGTGGATCGCACAATGCAACCAACATCGTCAGCGAACTCTTTGTTAGGCGCTAGATAAATTGATTGATTGGTCGGTTAGAATGAATGAATGAATGAGCAAAAAAATAAATAAATTATTCAACCAATCAATCAATTAATCAATCAATCAATAAATCAATCAATCAACCAACCTCCACTTGCGATCTCCATCTCTTGAGCAATTTAATATTTCTGTAAGCATTTGCTGAATTCTTCCATTGTGACTCGATTCTGACGAGGAACGAACGAACGAATAAATGAATGAATGAACGAATGAACCAACGAATGAATGAATGAACGAATGAATGAATGAACAAAAACAAGTAAATGAACGATCAAATAATTAAAAGAATGAACAAACAAAAGTGAACGAACGAACTACAAAATGAACAACATGCAATTCAATCAATCAATCAATCAATCAATCAATCAATCAATCAATCAATCGATCAATCGAACAAATGAACGAAAGAATAAACAAAATAAACGAATGAAAACCTTTCCAATTCGTTAACTAAATTCTGCGTTTCTCTGGCTGCTCTCTGACATCTCTGTTGCTTCCTAACCATGGGCAGAATAGTTAGGTGGTGCATCTGTGCGGTCATGAAGAAACATTCCGTCGAAAAGTTAGGAGGGGTCCAGGGATGTGCTGGGTGGTTTTATTATTATTAATTATTATTCGTTATTATTATTTGTGCTGTTGTCGTGAGATTTGATTCTGAACGAATGTATTGACTGGTTAAATTGTAGAGATATGTTGATTGATTGGTTGGGTAGTTTGTGGCAAAGGTAGATTAATTGGCTGGCTTAAAAGAAATGTTAGTGGGATGTGTTGATTGGTTGGTTGATTTGTGATTTTAATAATGATTGATTGATTGATTGATTGATTGATTGATTGACAGAAATGTATTAAAGATTATCAATTACACAATGGACCAATCAGAATAACCGACCAATCATGCCAACCAACCAATAGAATCAATCCAGCTCTTGACACTCTGATAAGAAGCATTGATCCTGGAATCATCTACCCCAATTACCATCCTAGTATCGGGATGATACGGATACATGGTATCTATCTTAGATACGTCTATCTTGATGGATAGCTTCTGCATTATGCTAAGAACGTTTAGCATGAAACCGTCTGAACTCATCTGGTTGTCTGTACTCTAGCGTGATTGGTTGATTGATTGATTGGTTGATTGATTGGTTGATTGATTGATTGATTTGATAACAACTTTATTATCATCATCACATTACTATCATTATCATCATCATCATCACCATTACCATCATCATCATCATTACCATCATAATCATCAATATAACCATCGTCGTCATCATCTTCATCACATTACTATCATCATCGTCGTCATCACCATCATTACCATCATCACTATTACCATCGTCGTCATCATCATCACCATTATCAACATCATCATCATTATCAACAACAACAACAAACCACAAGTTGCGTCTTCTTAATATTCAACCTCAAGACATCGGACATGTAGTTCAATGTTGCCATCCTGCTATCGGCTGATTTCAACAAACTATGCAGCACGCTGTACATGAGGTCCTGGGTTCAATCAATCAATCAATCAACCAACCAATCAACAATTCAACCAACCAATCAACCAACCAATCAACCAACCCACCCTGATAGCTTCCAGTCTCAAATGCAGACCATCTGATACGACCTTGACGTCGGTCACGCTTATGTTTGCATCTGGAAAGTACTTGTCCACTATTCTCGTCTGATGATGATGATGACGATGATGATCATCATCATCAGGGGAATCATTACAATCATCATCATCACCATCATCATTATGATAATCATCATCAGGAGAATCATCACAATCATCATTATCATTACAGCCATCATCATCATCATCATCATCACAACCATCATCATCATCATCACAACCATCATCATCATCATCACAACCATCATCATCACAGCCATCATCATCATCACAATCATCATCATTACCAACCGTATCTTCAGCTAATACGGAAAACTTGAGAAATGGACCGAAGTACGAACACTTTTCTAATTCAAGTCCAGTGCGACATGATGATGATGGCGGTGATGATGATGATGATGGCGGTGATGATGACAATGATGTTGACGGTGAAAGTAGCCAGAATTTCTTGCTTAAAATCTAACAGTGGGGATGATGATGATGATGATGAAAAAGATGGTGATGATGATGGTAATAATAAAGATTATGACATTCAAGATAGTCCGTTAACGATAATCAAGCTAAAAACACACACACGCACATACACACACACAAACACGCACACATACACACACGCACACACATACCAGGTTACAAATAGGCTTGGAATTTCCCACTTTCCATTCGATAATGTCCCTTAGTAAAGACAGCAGAACACTGAACTCATCATCGTCCAAGGTCAATTCTTTGACCTTTGTGGTGATGATGATGATGTTGGTGATGATGATGACGACGACGACGATAAAGGTGTTAATGATGTTGGTGATGATAATAATGATGAAGATGACGATTTAATGTCAGCTGAAAATTCATCTCGAAAAAAATCATCATCACCACCAACATCATCATCTCCACCACCACCATCATCATCATTGTCGTCGTCGTCATCATAACTATACCTTCCGTCTCAAATCCCAGATGACAGGTTCAAATATGGAAGCTACCATTTGTTGGAGTGGTGATGATGATGACGACGATGATGTTGCTGATGACGATGTGGTGTTGATGATAGTCGCGAAAATGTCGTGCAACATTGTTGACGGGGATGTCGGACTGACCAAGAATGGAAGAAGAACTGATTGATAGCCTGGCAGTCTGCAATCAATCAATCAATCAATCAATCAATCAATCAATCAATCAATCAATCAATCAATCAATCAATCAATCAAATCAATCAAACAATCAATCAATCAACTAACCAACCACAAAAATAATTATAATATTAACAACAGCAATAAAAAATTTACAATAACCTGGGGTCAGTTAGATGGCCTAATAAAACGAGGAGAACATGTTTGTAGGTCAGGTCGTGAATTAATGTCAAAATGCTTTCCAACTTCAACGGCGTTTTGTCGTTATATTTCTGTTATACACGTATGTATGTAAGTATCTATGCGTGTGCGTGTGTGTGTATGAGTGTGTGCATGTATGTATGTATTAAATCTTAATAAATGGCTGTGACATCAATGAAAGTGTAAAGTAGTCAAGTTTTTGGGTGTCTTTCTGAATCAGAAATTAACCTTACGTTCACAACACATAGACAATATCTGCTCAAAAAGTTTTTCTTGCCGAAGAGATGTTTAAATATGCTTTACAAAGCCTTATGTATCCCTCATGTAACTTACTTATGATAAGAGCAATTAGATGTATCACCTTATCAACTAAATACGAAAATAGGCAATCCTTATTTAAATTAACACAATGATATTTGTATACAAGCAAGTCTCAAACCAACTGCCATCAATTTTCGGAAACTACTTTTGAGTGTGTTGAGTCCAAATGAGATTTGATAGTCTTTTCGTTGTTGGTTAAGCGCCGGGTTGGAAGTGAGGTAGTTATTTTTTGTTTTCAAATCTCATTTGGACTCAACACACTCAATCACAATTAGCCGTGAAATCCTCGACAGCAA